AGGACGTCCCTACAGCTCCCAGAAGGTCCCTATGGGTCCTAGGAAGGCCCTATGGGTCCCTATGGGTCCCTAAGGGTCCCAGGACGTCCCTACAGGTCCCAGGAGGTTCCTATGGGTCCTGGGAGGCCCCTATGGATCCCTATGGGTCCCAGGACATCCCCAGGGCTCCCAGGAGGCCCCTATGGGTCCCTGGGAGTCCCAGAAGGTCCCTATGGGTTCCAGGACGCCCCTATGGGTCCCAGGAGGCTCCTATGGGTCCCTATGGGTCCCAGCAGGTCCCCACGGCTCCCAGGACATTCCTATGGGTCCCTACAGCTCCCAGAAGGTCTCTGTGGGTCCCAGGACGTCCCTATGGGTCATAGAAGGTCTCTATGGGTCCCAGGAGGTCTCCATGGATCCCATAAGGTCTCCATGGGTCCCAGGAGGCCCCTATAGGTCATAGAAGGTCTCTATGGGTCCCAGGACATCCCTATGGGTCCCAGAAGGTCTCCATGGATCCCAGAAGGTCCCCGTGGGTCCCAGGAGGTCCCTACGGGTCCCTATGGGTTCCAGGACACCCCTACAGCTCCCAGGAGGTCCCTATGGATCCCATAAGGTCTCCATGGGTCCCAGGAGGTCCCTACGGGTCCCAGAAGGTCTCTATGGGTCCCAGGACATCCCTATGGGTCCCAGAAGGTCTCCATGGATCCCAGAAGGTCTCCATGGCTCCCAGAAGGTCCCTATGGGTCCCAGGCCATCCCAATGGGTCCCAGAAGGTCTCCATGGGTCCGAGAAGGTCCCTACGGGTCCCAGAAGGTCCCTATGGGTCCCAGGACATCCCTATGGGTCCCAGAAGGTCCCTATGGGTCCCAGGCCATCCCTATCGGTCCCAGAAGATCTCCATGGCTCCCATAAGGTCTCCATGGGTCCCAGAAGGTCCCTATGGGTCCCAGGCCATCCCTATGGGTCCCAGAAGATCTCCATGGATCCCAGAAGGTCTCCATGGGTCCCAGAAGGTCCCTATGGGTCCCAGAAGGTCCCTATGGGTCCCAGGCCATCCCTATGGGTCCCAGAAGGTCTCCATGGATCCCAGAAGGTCTCTATGGGTCCCAGAAGGTCCCTATGGGTCCCAGGACATCCCTATGGGTCCCAGAAGGTCTCCATGGATCCCAGAAGGTCTCCATGGCTCCCAGAAGGTCCCTGTGGGTCCCAGGAGGTCCCTATGGGTCCCTATGGGTTCCAGGACACCCCTATGGCTCCCAGGAGGTCCCTATGGGTCCCTGAAGGTCTCCATGGCTCCCAGAAGGTCCCTATGGGTCCCAGGAGGTCCCTATGGGTCCCAGAAGGTCTCCATGGGTCCCAGGAGGTCCCTGTGGGTCCCAGAAGGTCCCTATGGGTCCCAGGACATCCCTATGGGTCCCAGAAGGTCCCTATGGGTCCCAGGCCATCCCTATGGGTCCCAGAAGGTCTCCATGGGTCCGAGAAGGTCCCTACGGGTCCCAGAAGGTCCCTATGGGTCCCAGGCCATCCCTATGGGTCCCAGAAGATCTCCATGGATCCCAGAAGGTCTCCATGGCCCCCAGGAGGTCCCTATGGGTCCCAGGCCATCCCTATGGGTCCCAGAAGGTCTCCATGGGTCCCAGAAGGTCCCTATGGGTCCCAGGCC